CCAACGTGCACAACTTGCCTTTTTATAATAATAATAATAATAATAGGGTAGCCTAAATTGGCACAGTTGTTTTTGTTTTGTCTTTTATTTAACCGACACTCGGTTAGGGAAACGTGCCTTTCCGTCTATATCATTCTAATCTCCACATGCTCTTTATGAATGTGTGTGTGTGTGTGCGCGCACGCTCAGCAGAGAGCTTGTGTTCTGCCGAGATGGAGAGTGGAGAGTTGTCTTCAGTGTTTGACAAATATTAGAAAAAAAGTATTGAGACATCCTCATCAAACTCAGGCTTCTTTGGAAAACACTGGTGACAGCATCTTGAGGACCGTGCTGTAAGCATTGAAAAGCCACTGAGAGCTATGGACTTTATATATACACCACACAGACTTTTATAGGCTTAGATAATTAATGAATAATGAATGGCCATGTCAACCCTACAGTGAAGGTGACTTAATTACAAAAGTTGATCAGTCAGCAATAAGTGTGGTTTTAAATATTTATAGCTATTTACAGACTGTGTGGGCTAAAACACACAATAAGCATCTATAAGTTTACAAATCGGTAGGCAAACTCATTAAAATATGCAATCATTAAGATACGTGTACCTGATGGAATAGCTGCTTTAGAATATGTCAGAGGCCACCGTATTTAGGCTTTTACAGCCAAACGTTTTCCCCGAGAGTGAATGCATGCCCCGCCACCTTTTGTTATTGTAGCCTCTTATAAGCTTATATGTTAGTAACTTGCTGTGAAAATAATACGGTGATGCAAAAAGGAGAATATTTCCCTCCGGTGTGGTGGAGTGGAAATGAAAAGTTCAATTTTGTAACTTGTACTTTACTTACTTACAGTACTTAAGTCAATCAACTTCGTTACTGTCCACCATTGTAGATGCAGACAAGATGAACCTGCCCCTTTGAATTTGGAGAAAGTTCAACAACTCAAACAGCTTGGCTTTGATAGCGTCCAAAACTGATGCACCTTTGCGAAAAGGAGCAACAGAATTGATAATAGTAATGACTTAGCTGCTTGTAAGGGGGATTGCAGCCCCTAAAGTTGACTGTGTTGAAACCCATTTAATTTCCTCCCCTCCCTGCAGGACGAAACATTCGGCCCATCGGGGGTTTAAGATAAGACGAGGCTAGCTTATCGCAGTCAAAGATAACTGGTGAAACGAATGACAGCGGGGATTTGCGAATACTCTTTCTATACCTGTCCCCCCGCCCTTCCCCCCCCCCATCTCTCTCCTGCGCTCCCGCTTTTCCACGGAACGTGCTGCGGCTTTGAACTAGTGCTTCCAAGCTGCAAAGCACAACTCAAGAGACACTGCGTCCCATTTGAAGAGGTAATTTATTTGTATGGCATGAAATAAGGTGAAGATGAATAGCTACACTAGATGTATCTGAGCAAGAGATTCGTCAAAGGCTTTGTCTGAACACTGCAGTGTCAGCAAAAAGGTCAGCGGTTACCACATACCCATTTAACATCATTACGTTTACTTCCCACTCTCTGCCTACACTTTCTGCTTAATATTGTGTGAATTAGTGTCTTGTTTGGTGATTATATAACAGACATTAAAATTGATGTCTTTTGCAAAAAAACCTGTGTGGGCAGCAGTTTGAATTCTCAGGGATTTACACTTTGTATCATTCAAACATCTGGGTGTTTGCGCTTTCCTCATTACTCCTGGTTTAATGTGATGTATACCCTTTCAAAAGGCCACACTCCCTACATCCATCATCGGCAGCCAAGGTTGTTCAACCCGTTCTGATTACAAGCAGTCAAGCTTTTCTTTTGAAGAGAGAGAAGTGCAAGATTTGACTGATAATGCTGCTACATAAATTCACGGACTGTTTATTTTCGTCTCTCGCAATGTAATCTGACAAAAACAATCCCTCGGTCAAGACAATTAATCATGTTCATGTCTGCGTGGTTCCTTTGTGGTTGGAGGAGGTACGTTTTTTGTTTTTTTTTGAAAAAGCATCAGGACCTCAAAACAAAGTGCTCTCTAAATAGGCAGACGGCTCTTTGAGGAACTTTCTTTTCCTTCTCATGCAAGCATGATTATGTGAGTAATTTTGGAGCAGTGCCAGTTGGGTAGTAAAAGTTGGCACCGCACTCCTGAAGCCTCTCGTCTGTTATAATTACAGCTGTGATATCTGTTTTACTTCATAACTGCCTGTTGATACATCCATTGCTACGCAGATTTGTGATGGAGGCAAAGTGCTTGCAAAAATGAATACAGTGTTGCATTAATCTAGTCTATGGCCTAATATTTTGAGTTGTACTTTTTTGAAACATCAAAGATGGTTATGTTCTTCAAACAGTGTCTTTGATTTTGCAAGTACATATTTAATTAGTTCTTGTTACAGATGCTGAAACAGGTTATTTCTCTGTTGGTGGTTTTCTTATATGTTTAGTTCATTTTCCAACTGATTCATAAATTAACGTTAATAACACCCCACACACAAATTAATTGCCTTTACATTTCAGTGGATCAACCCTGCTGTTCTTTTGATTAGGATATGGATGAGCGATCACTTCCTTTGCTCAAAAAAGATTTTTTGATGTACATATTACTGTCTAGAAAGACAGAAAAAAACTTTTTGTAACAAAACATCTCTTGGGTCGCAAAAGTTGGGATACTCCTACCCTGGGTAGAACAAAGTACAACCATGTTTTTCATAACCTGTATAAAAATAGTTTTCTGCAAACATACATTTTTGGTTAATGGTTAGATCCACCTCGAAACGGAAAATAGTGAAAATGTGTGCTCCTCCTAAAAGGCACAGCGTTTCCTTATTAAATATATCTCTGAAAATAATGTCACCAAATTTGGAATGTTCACAGGCAGTTATTGCATACAACAAAACAAATGCATAATCAATACCTATGGCCATCTTTGAAATGTATACAGTTAAACACATTAAATATCGGCGGAAATTAAATCTGATGGAACAAAACGGTGATTAGGCTTACTTTTTCTCAGATTTGACTTTGCAGAGCTATTCGGATGAAGGATACTATGCAGACCTCTGTTCTCAAAACACCATTCTAAGCCTAAAATGTTTACTGTTTTGCAAAATGTCAAACAAGCAAGTCAAGCAGTACCCAAAAGGACACTTTGCATGGAATTTTTGGAAGTACAATAACTTTGTATATGAATCAAGGCACTGCCACATGCAGCGTCAGTTCAAAGAGCTCGCTCTTGGGCAAATGTTCTACAAGAAATACTAGAGAGAATGCGTGCAGGGTGCCAGGTTGGTCTTTATTGAGGGAACATCCGTACCCTTTGGTTCATTGAGTTTTGCACCAGTTCAGCTTACCATGCTGCCTTTTCTATATCTATTTTTCTTTACAATGTATACCTTAGGTTTGCACATGGAAGGGGAAAGTCACAGTAGCTTAAAAGCTGTAAGAGGGAGATAGTCAGGAAGAAAGTCCTGCCTTACCAGGCTACAAAGCTTTATTAAAATTCGCTCCCCCCCCTGCTTCCGGGACTTGCCTCGTTTTATCCAACCCGCTTTTACACACAACTCGTCAAATATCGACTATTGGTCAGTGGCCCTCTGAGGCACCAAGGCACCCTTTAGAGTCTTTGAGATGCAGCAGGCTTTCAACTAACTCCTATTATTAACCGTCACAACAACTTATGTAGTATAACGAGCGAGAAAGTCCACGTAGGGTGGTTGGATGGGTCAAACTGACACAGGACCCAGCTGTCCTTGTCCCTTATGAAACCAAGTTAATGTTAACTTATAAGGTAAGATAAGAAAAGATAATCCCTTATTAGTCCCACAGCTAGGACATTTGCAGCAAAATGGACAGTGCATGGCCAAGGGAATCAGTCAAATATAAACAAAACACGTATAATAGACAGACAGTAAAGCTATAATAAATAGGTAAAACGTAGAAATCAGCAAAAACTAACTCAATTTTGAAAATACTCTGTTTGCATGTAGAGTATAAGCTGACACGCCGTAAGTGACGCTAGAGGGGTGACTATGAGAGTCATAGTTTGAAGCATAGAGCCGTCGATATTTGTCGAGTGAGAATGTGTTGCATCATCATCGTAAGGCTGTCAAACATGCTATGCAATCAAATATGGATATGTCCAGATGTATAAGTATCATGAGCTAAATTTATGGTTGAGGTCGGACATAGTTGTCAGAGGGAAAGAAAATAACTTGAAAAGACAACAAAGGCTCACAGTCTTTAGTTCACACTGTCTTCATTTTCATGACAGTTTTGCTCCCACTTTGTCTCTCTCTCAGTACAGAAGACATGTTTTATTTCAGCGAATGGGGCTATCTCTTGTACCACCTTGTGCTTCATTCATTTCGATGTATATCTTTGCCATGATGGGCTATTAAGGAAAACATCTGTCAGCTGTGTAGGAGCACATATCCGTCCCAGGTGACAATCATAGCTTCAAATGATACCAGGTTTTAATCTGGATGTTTTCATTTTTTTCCTGTTCTCTCACTAGATTTCTCTCTTTTTCTCATTCTCTCTTTCTTCCTCCATCAATTCACTTTAGTTCAGCCTATGTCGGCATGGTCGAGGGATTCCTTACATTGCAAAAGCACTGAGCGACATAATGAATTAAATTCGCTCCTATCTCTCTCTTTTTCTCTTTCTTTCTCCTCTGGCAATTTATTCTGCTTACGTACTCAGCTTTAGGCAAATGATGTCCCTATATGATGTCGCTATGTAACAAGCAGAGAAGGCACATTTGTCCTCTGCAGGCTCACCTTCTTTACCGTGGCACTACGGATGCCATAATGACTGTTTTCATTATGAATTATTCTCTTGATTGTTTTTTTTACTATTATGCTTTAGTTTAACACATTGTCCAACTATGATTTTAAATAGCTTGTTTAGTTCAACCAACAGTCCAAACCCAAAGATATACATTTTATGATGAAAGTAAGAGAAAGCAGCAAATATTCCTTCGCTCTTAACCGAACTCCACTACTGTTGTTTTGCTTTTTTTCCAGGGAGTTTGGGAGATGGAAGGTGAACAACTTGGCAGTGGAAAGGAGAGATTTCTTAGAGTCTTCGTTACCTCTGACTCCTGATTTCATCAGGAACATCCGAATGTTGGGCCGCAGGCCCACCACCCAGATGATAACTGACAATCTGATCCGGAAGTACGGGACTCACTTTCTGTTGTCAGCTACACTGGGAGGTAAACAGAAAACGGTTGTTTGAGTGTTTGGTTTGTTTTTTTATTTCAAGCATTTGCCTTCTAGCTCGACTTGAATGCAATTTCCAATAACAAATGAGACGCATTCTAAAAATCATAGCAATCCTTGAAACAATGGGTCCCTGATTTCCACCAGACTCGGATCATTCTCATTGTTAGTGCCTTCAATTTTGCTGGATAACATGGTTACCATTAATGGCAGATTTCATCAGCCTGTCATCACCTTCCAGGAAGTATGCCAAAAAGATTGAATCTTAAGTTATAGGGTCTGGATGATGTCAGCTGATAGCTCATGTAGAAGACACAGAAATGTGTTGTTGTGTTCCAGTATTGAGCTAATTAGAGCAACTATTGCAGTTCCGCAGTATGGGGAAATGTGTTTTTAGGATTAACTTTCCTCCATTATGGTATAGAACAAACGTATTACTTCTCTCTCAGATGATGTAGGCTTTAGTAAAGTATTTGTGTTGATAAAAGCTTTTAGAGTTTGCTCCCTCAGGCGACATTTCACAATAACTCAGTCACAGTAAGTAACTGAATAACACATCACAGCAAAATAGTATGCCACTGGCAGCACAGAAATGGCTCTTCAGAGATGTACTGTACGAATACATGTAAAAGCCTGTGTACTATAAACACGCCACTGCCAGTGACAGTCACCCCACTTGTGATTTTCTGCAGTTTGATGACAAGCATTAATGGTCCTCTGAGTGAAGAAAAAGAAAAGAATTCAAGATGCCAGAGAAGTCCAAGCAAGTCTTGCGAAACCAATTTGCTTTTACAGAGCAACACTTGTCAATTATTTTAGACCCGATTCCTCGCTTAGAAAAGGTCACTGTTGTGAGTGGCTGCATTCAATGCAACGCTTACCAGCTGCCTGAGCTGATGCAGCCCATAACTCTGGCTCCCAGCCAGCACTTAGTGGTATGAAGAGAGGAGAATGAGGAGTTTGCCTTGGATTGTTGCCAGAGATATGCCTCTGTGGTTCTGAATGGATTGCCTCTGTGTTCAGAAACATATGGACCTAATGAAATTAATAAATAGACTGTGATATCAACACGGTGCCCTTCAGCAGCTGAGCAAGAAAAGCAGTGGGCAGAAGAAGGGCCCTGGGACATTAACACTACATTATGATAGGAATATGATGTGCAGTGTTTTAAGGGACTTTCAAGGAAAGAGTGCCCTGCACCATGGCCCCTAGACTTAGAGAGAGCTGATTGCTATGATCCGTTGCTATACAGGGTGGCATATACTAATCGTCGTCAAGTGTCTTTGTACTTCAGAGGCCCCTTGTTGCTCCTTTTCTCTTAACCACATGGAATATTGTGTGTGTGTGTGTGTGTGTGTGTGTGTGTGTGTGTGTGTGTGTGTGT